GGGCTTGGCACATAGTAGGTGCTCAATAAATATTTGTTGAATGAATGAAAAGAATACCAGCTGCATATTAAGTGCTAAGTAATGGAGCCATCAAAGCTTGGTGGTTTATTGTGTAAAGCTATGTGGTAGGATAGGATGGGGACACAAGAAGCAGATGATGTGGTCATTCCTGGGGGGTGGGGGTGGAGAGAGGTGACCTTCCTTCCTGGGGCCTGAAGGAAGAATGAAGTGAGTGAGATGTGTCCTTAACCCAAGCAAAGTCCTTGGCTTGGGTTATAAGGGGGTGGTAGGGAAAGTCAGTCAATGAGAGCAAGGATCTTGAAGGCCTTGGGGCAGACTAGAGACCAGGGGCCAGATTGGAGAAGGAAAGAGAAAAGCGAATGAGAGGAGATTTCTAGGAAAAGAGGCAGAAATAAATACTTGGTCTTAGACTATTATTCTCAAGGGCAACTTAGAAGAAGAGAAGGAGAGTGCTGCATGGGTGGAGAAGAAAATGAGGGAGAGATCTTGGGAGATAGTCAGGAAGAGGAGGAAACTGGAGGACAGTGGAGGAAAAGTGGGAGAAGATCTGGGGAGTATGGTGGAGGGGTCACTCCAGGGATGAAAGAGCAGAGGAGGAGGTGGATGGGGGAAGCAGCACAGCACCAAGGGGAAGTGTGTGTAGACCCACTGGAAGAGGTGGGCACCATAGCTCCAGATTTATAGTAATGAACCCTCACAGGGCAGGGACATGGGGCGAGGGAGGTGCAGGTACTCAGCTGGTTAGTGGGATGAACGTCACCAGGATGGAGCTTTTGAGTCAGGCTCCAGCCCCACCCAGGCATCCCACAGGGGCCTTCTGGCCCTTTTCCAGTGGGGCTCCTCTCTGGTGAGTTCTGATGTATAATTGGCCAGTGTCCTGGGCTCTCTTGGCTGAGAAGGCAGGGCTCTGACTTGGGCCTCTCCCCAATCACCCACCCAACTGACCTGGGTCAACTCCATTATCAACATCTCAACAGCCCAGGTGTTGTGTAAGCAGTCTCCCCACTACCCCTCAACTTCTTTCACTGGACCCTGGCCTGCATCTGCTTTCTATGAGTAGAAAGCATGAGCCAGCTACAATGTTAGTAAGGGCATGGCCCTCTGGACACCTGTAAACCCGGCATGCAGATGCTCTAGATGTAGAGTTCAAAGGCTGCCTTCCAGCCCACAGCTGTGTAGCAGAGTCTCAGGGATGACACTGTCCCTGCTTATGAGGGCTGTGCCTCAACTTGCTTTCTCCCTCTGTCTCCACTGTCACAGCATCTCAAGATCCTCTCCACTCCTGCAAGGGCCCACAGGATCACCTGTTGTCCACCCACTAGCCCTGTCTCATTGTCTCTCACTGTCTGAAATGCCTCCATGCACATCTTCTCATCAACACTGTCCTGCCCGCCTTTGCCTAAAGCTTGTCCTCACCCTTTCCAGGGAGCCTTTCTTGCCTTTCCCATAAGATTAGCTGCAATTGCACATTGTCCTAGAAAGGACACTGTCAGCAGTCATTGCATTCCTCAGTATCTGATGGTATGTCTGAAAAATAACCCTCTTTAGACTTCTGGCCTTTCTCATGAATTTGAATATGCTCTACCAGACTGGGAGCTCCAGAACCCATGTCTCCTTCCTCCTCTTAGTGCCTCCTTCACTCCAAAATTAAGACAGGATTGAGCATAGAGCTAGGAAATATCAGTCACAAAATCCCTGAGTCCCCCAGCTGGAAAATTTTATCTACTCTAAGCGATCAACTATCTTGAGGAGTCTGCCTTATAATACCCTCCAGGGAGCAGAATGAACTGAAGGGAACACTGAACAAGTACTTCCTAATGTTAAAACCACCTAATTTGCCCATTCTTTACAGGTGCCCCTTGAAATAAAGGTCCACTTGGGCTAAAAGAAGAGACTCTGATCTCCAGATCTGAAGGTCTTTTGTTCACCTTACCTCCACAAAAATGGTGGCCACTGCAGAATAAGAAGTGTCTTTCTTTTACATAAAGCCTCCCTAAATGGAAGAGATAATGCAAGCTCCTTTAGAAAATAATGATTACTTGTCTCCTTCTGGGAAGTTCTTCCTCAACTCCAACTTCCATTTGTCCATCTGCAAAGAAAGCTTGCCTTCTCTGGTTCTCATTGGAGCACCATTGTACTTGGATGAATTATCAAGGCCATATCTCCCATCCTCAACCCCATGAAATCCTCTGGCTACTGACCAATCAGGAGGTTTTAGGATCAGGCAAAAATAAAGATGAGTGAGTGTGCCATCATTTGATTTATGACTGAGGATTTCTGATGGTCTGTTAAGTCCAAATAATAAATACACACTTATGAATTATTCACAGATTCAGAATTTTCAGATTATCCAAGCTCTTCTCATCCAGTAGTATGGTTGCCCAAGGATTGGTGATGTGTTCCTTTGCAAAGAGAAGAGATTCTCATTGGACCTTTTCTGAGGCAATCAGGCTGGAGCAGAGACGGAAGGAGGGGCATTTGTTTTGGTGTTCTTTTCGAGGACAAATGGAGTAACCATGGCCAAAGGTCTAAGATCCTCTGCCCCTTGGACTGGCTCCCATTGTAGAATACAGTAGATAACATTTATTGAGCATTTTCTATGTGCTGTTAAACATTGTCCATGCATTATTTCACTTACTCCTTCTACAAGTTCTTTAAGATAGGCAGAGTTAATGGAAACTGGACACAGATGGCTTAGGCATGTGGGTGAGTATATCCCATCAATGCTGTGGATATGTCAGCAGCAGCAGCAACAACAACAACTAATATGATTACACACTTAGAGTGTGCCAGGCTTAGTTCTAAGTGATTTACATGGATTAACTCTTTTAATCTTTACAACAACTTTATGAGGTGGGCACTATTATTTTCTTCATTTTAGAAACCGTGAAATGAGGTACATGGAGGTTTAGTAATTGCCTGAGTTTACACAGCTAGAGAGTGGCAGAGCTAGAATTCGAAACGAGGCAGTTTAGAATCTGAGTCTGTGTGCTTAACTAATATGCCATGTATCCAAACTTTTTATTTATTTATTTTTATGTTTTCTTTTTATGGGTACATAATAGTTATACATATATATGGGCAACATAAGATATTTTGAGATAAGCATAAAATGTGTACTGATCAAATCAGAGTACTTGGAATATCCATCACCTCAAACATTTATTATTTCTTTGTGTTGGGAACGTTCCAAACCTACTCCTTTAGTTATTTTGAAATACACAATAAATGATTATAGTCATTCTATTGTGCTACTGAACACTAAATCTCATTTCTGTTATCTAACTTATTTTTGTATTCATTTACTAACACCTCTTTATCTTCCCCTCCCAATTACCCCCCCTGGCCTCTGGTAACCATCATTCTACTCTCTCTCTCATGAGATCAATTTTTTTAGCTCTCACATATGTGTAAGAACATCTGAAATTTGTCTTTCTGTGCCTGAATTATTTTCCCTAACATAATTTCCTCCAGTTCCATCCATGTTGTTGCACATGGCAGGATTTCATTCCTTTTTATGGTTGAATAATATTCCATAGTGTATCTGTAACATATTTTCTTTATTCATCCATTGATGGACACTGAGCTTGATTCCAAATCTTGGCCTTAATGAATAGCACTGCAATAAACATGGGAGTGCAGATATCTCTTTGATATATGAATTTTCTTTCTTTTGGAAGTATACCTAGTAGTGGGATTGCTGGAGCATCTGGTGGTTCTATTTTTAGCTTTTGGAGGACCATCCATACTGTTTTCCATAGTGACTGTGGTAATTTACATCCCACCAGCAGCGTACAAGTGTTCCCCTTTCTCCACATCCTTGCCAGCATCCATTTTTTTTTTTTTGATAAAAGCCATTTTAACTGGGTTAAGATGATAATCTTATTGTGGTATTGATTTGTATTTCTTCGATGATATTTTGAGCATTTTTAATATACCTGTTGGCCATGTATATGTCTTCTTTTGAGAAATGTCTATTCAGATCTTTTGCCCATTTTAAAATCAGATTATTTGGTTTACTTGCTATTGAGTTGTTTGAGTTCCTTATATGTTGCAGCTACTAATTCCTTGTCAGTTGAATAGTTTGCAAGTATTTCTTCCATTCTGTAGGTCATTTCTTCACCTTGTCGATTGTTTCCTTTGGTATGCAGAAGTTCTTTTAGCTCTATGTGATACCATTTGTTCATTTTTTGCTTTGGTTGCCTTTGCTTTTGAGGTCTCAATCGAGAAATCTTTGTCCAGGTCAATGTCTTAAGCATTTCCTCAATGTTTTCTTCTAGTAGTTTCATAGTCTCAGGTCTTACATTTAAGTCTTTAATCCATTTTAATTTGGTTTTTGTATACAATGAGAAATGGATATTTCAACTTTTCAGCTGCAACTATAGTAAGAAACAATTTTACATAGTGACTGGGTATGCACATACATATATATATGCCATACAACTGAAATAAAAAGGACATGTAACAAGTTATTCTCGTGACATATGGTGCAATTTACTATTTTCTGGTCTACTCTGCTCTATTTGATTTTCTCATAATCCATTTCATTAAAATAAAATTCTGGTTGGTTCAATTAGCGGGTCAGAACATGAATTCTGAATAAACACTGCCCCTGAGCCCACCGCCTCCTAATGATTGTAATGAAGCCCTTCTGCTCTGTGCTCTGGAGTCTGCTGAGCTTGTACACATCTCTGTAACTCTAAGGCAGTAGTAGGAGGGAAAGCCTTAACCTATTTCCCAGAAGAGTCAAGTGCCTTCCCCCAGATTACACTGGGATACTCAGGGCAGAGCCTTGGTTCCTACCCAGCCCTCGTGAGTTCAAGACCCACACTACTTATACTGGATGGATGGCACACGCAAATATAGATCTGTTCTCTGGCACCTGCCAAGGGTACTGACAAACTTCCATGCAGGAGTTTCAAGGAGTATAGTGTGGAAAGCAGCAGAGACTCAGGGGATGATGGCAGGGGCTGGACGCTCTCCTCATGTGGCTCTACATGATCTCATAATCTGAGCCAGACACTATACAGATTCATAACAGTGGTGCTCACCCTAGACCTTCTAGGCCCTGGAGGTTACACAGAGGCCTGAGAGGACATCCAGACATTCAATCCTTGTCTAGGGCCTTGTGGGAAGTAATTGCGCTTTCCTGGGACCAGTGAGCTAGTGTGTGCCCCTGAGGCCACATGGGACACTCTGAGGGAGGGAATGGCTCCGCTCAGCCAAGCTGGCCAATATGGCCTAATAAGGTGGTCTGAGGACTAGTATACATGCTAGTTGAATGTGCAGGTGAGAACCTGTGAGTGTGTGTGTGTGAGATGGTGGGTAGAAAGGCCAGCATGTGAAAGCATTGTGTGTGTGAGTGTGTGTGTGAAAGAGAGAAGGGAGTTGTGAGTAGGAAGGCCAACATGTGAGTGCATTGTGTGTGAGTGTGTGTGTGTGTGTGTGTGTGTGTGTGCACCAGAGAGTGGGAGAGAGAGAGAAAAACATGTTGATAGGTATAGATAAGGGATTTGGGAGTACGTGTGGAGGAATTGGGTTCCTAAGAAGGTGACTAAGTTAGAGATTTTGTAAACGTGGGGCTTTTGGGGTGCAGAAGCAGGCCATCTGGTTCGGAGAAACCACCAAACGCCCCCCAAGTTCCACATCATGGGATTCCCCCTCCCAACTTTCCTGGCTAGTCCTATCAGCACCACGGACAGCGCATCGATAATGTCAAACCCGGCAGGACAGAAAGAGCAGCAGCCCCACCCCTTCCCTTCCATTCCAACCTGAGTCACTGCTCACTCCTTCGTCCAACGTCAGTTTCCTCAACTGTGTATTGGGAGGTTGAGGTGGGTGTGGGGGACGTGAGTTGGTCCTTTGAAGAGGAAAACTGCAGTTTAGGGCAAAGTATCATAAACATCTGGCTGCTTCTGGGCACCAATTAAGCACATTAAGTGGGGAGCGACAGCAGCTACACAACCCAAGCCCATAAAGCCTTCTAATTGCTCCTACCCACGTGGTCACAGTTTCCCCACTTATATAAAAGGCCTACAGAGGTGCAAGGAGTGAACGCCTGACGCCTCGACCACTGTACTCTCCATTCGGACGTCTCCATCCTCAGAACCTCCTCTCTTCCCCAAAAAGCACCATGACTTGCGGATCTTACTGTGGTGGCCGCGCCTTCAGCTGCATCTCGGCCTGCGGGCCCCGGCCTGGCCGCTGCTGCATCACCGCGCCCTACCGTGGCATCTCCTGCTACCTGGCCTCACTGGGGGCTTTGCTTGGCGCCACAGCGTGTCACGGAGGCTATAGAGCCGCTCCTGCTGGGCCACTTGATTCGGCTACGCTCTCAGGGCGTGTGCGGGCCCAGCCCCCCATGCATCACCACCGTGTCGGTCAACGAGAGCCTCCTCACGCCCCTCAACCTGGAGATCGACCCCAACGCGCAGTGTGTGAAGCAGGAGGAGAAGGAGCAGATTAAGTGCCTCAACAGTAGGTTCGCGGCCTTCATCGATAAGGTGAGTGTCCCGGATCACACCTTTCTTGAACTCCCACCACCTACACAGTCAGGGATGGGCACTGAGGATGGAGTCAGAGACAGAAAGACCTCTGCCTGCCTGAGATCCCAGTCTGATGGGAGAGGCACACAGACACACAGACAGACACACACACACAGAGAGACACACACAGGCACTCCAAGATGTAGACTCAGCTGACCAGTTCAGATAGAGAGAGCTTGTGGAGGAAAAGTGTGGCCAGGCTGCTCTGGGGCACAAGCTAGACATCAGGGATTTGGGGATGGGGGACATGTGACTGCCTGCTGACCTCAGAGAGGGATTTGGGGCCCCAGGGTGAAAAGTAGGGTGCACTGACTTCCAGATGACATAGGGAAGAGCTGGGACAACTGAGCTCCCTTCAGATAATTGATTCAATTTAGACACCCTCTTCTTGGCACCACATCACAGAAATCCCATCTGTGATCGAACCTGGAGTACTCTGCCTGTGAGGGATGCTGCCTCACCTGGCTTCAGAGTGAGGAGCTGAGCCTCCACTGTGTTCATCTGCTTGGGGTCCTCAGCTCCCCAGAAGGCAGGCACTGGCTTCACCCAACCCTTGCTCCATTCCTGAGTGGGAAATCTAGGCACAGATCATGACCAGGAAATCCAGAAATTGTCTGTCTCCCACTGCCCACCTCTACTCAGTCTCAGATAAGCTCCAGATTTGGGGATTTCCTTTAAAGTATCCCTCCTCCACCAGGTCCCCAGAGCTGTCTTTGGGGGCACCAGAAACCATCTGCCCCTCCTTCCCACTCTGAATGGCAGGTGCGCTTCCTGGAGCAGCAGAACAAGCTGCTGGAGACAAAGCTGCAATTCTTCCAGGGCCGCGAGTGTTGCCAGAGCAACCTGGAGCCCCTGTTCGAGGCTACATCGAGACTCTGCGGCGGGAGGCCGGGTGCGTGGAGGCCCGACAGTGGGAGGCACAGCCTCAGAGCTCAACCACGTGCAGGAGGTGCTGGAGGGATACAAGAAGAAGTGAGTGACAGCAGGAGGGATGCTGGGCACAGGGATGGGATTAAGGTTAAATACACTGGATTAGACAACAGAACTCCCAGGTAGGGTGAGTGGCCATGACCACTAGGTTGACCGAGGGTGGCGGGGTCTTTTCATTTGTGGAATCTTTGCCCAGACACCTGTGTAGAGGAGGGCTATAACTCCCACTACCTGTCTCTATACCCTTAGCCTTCTCTTCCCTGAAACCCATCACCCAGCTCTCCCCTGCGCTCGGTGGGGAGAAGCCTCTGCAGGTTCTGCTTCTCTCCTGACCCTCCCAGCCCCGATATCTGAGCACCTGTCAGATGTGAGCCCAGGAGTCTCTCTGAGTGACAAGTCTGGAGCTCTGGCTCTGTTCCCCACTGCCTTGAGTTCTAGCTCCGAGGTCTGCAGGTCCAGCACCTGAGCTGGGATTCACACCAGTGAAGGGAAGTTGGGGCTACAGGCCCCGGGAGGATATGCTGTTTGCCCGGGATGGGGTTGGGGGCTGAGTCCTATTTGCCTGGGGACCTCAGAGACCCTTTGGGGAACAGGACTGGGAGGTACCAGGTGAGCCTCTTCCTCTCAGTTCAAAGTGGAGAAGATCCCAAACACATCCCACATCCAGCGGAGAGAAGCACTCAGCTAGTCTGCCAGGCCCGGGCTGTGTGGGGGTGTTTCACAAATGCTGTCCCCATGGCTGTGATGAAGTGTGATGTGATGGGGGGCTCTGCAGGGAACCTGCCTTGCTCTGACCTCCCCTCTCTGCCCTCTGCTCTGCCTCAGGTATGAGGAGGAGGTTTCTCTGAGAGCAACAGCTGAGAGCAGTTTGTGGCTCTGAAGAAGGCAAGTGACACAGGATTGAGAAGCACAGATCTGTGGGATCTCAGAATGACAGGCTCTTCCTGGGGGACACACAGGGGAGTCTCAACCTCCAGTGTGGAGCTTCCATTGACCTTTCCACAGCAGGATAGGACTGCCCAGGTGCAGGTCATCGGATGGAGCATCAGGGTCTTGAAAAAGGGCAATGACCTGGGAACATCTGCAGCACCTGCCTTGGCGGGGATGGCTGCACTGTCCTCTGTGTGTCCTGCTCTGCTCAAGGGATTGTAGTCTGTTGCTGGGCCCCTGGAGCCATAGATACAGTGTCCTCTGCTGAGAGACAGTGCAGTCTGTCTAGCATTTTGGGGAGTCTGACCTTAGGCACAGACACAATCCCAGAATCTAAGGGAGGATGGAGCAGAATCAGCGGCAGAACTGGGCTCTTGGAGCACTGCTGAAGGACAGGAAGGGTCAAGGTGTGAGAGCAGGGGTCGGTCTGGGCAGGCTTCCTGGAGCAGGAGAGGGGAGAAGGGGAGAGACAGGAGGGCAAGGAGGGTGAAAGGCTGGTGAGTCATGCCCAAAGCAAACCCAGGATTTGTCCTCCAGAGGGCCAGAGGGGATGCCAGCTCATCCCAGGAAGGGCAGAAGGGAAGGAGAGGCATGGGAACGGGACACCGGGGACTGCTTTCCCTTGGCTGCATGGAATGGAGGAGCAGAGAGACAAGTCTGGGGGCTGAATTACCAGGGTCCTCTGAGCTCCAACACTCCCCACCTTTCCAGGATGTGGACTGCGCCTACCTCCATAAGTCAGACCTGGAGGCCAACGTAAGGCCTGATCCAAGAGACCAGGCTTCTAGAGGCGGCTGTGTATGAGTGCGGAGCCCAGGGGCCAGGCAGAGACCTGGCTTGGCCAGCAGAGAGGAGGGATTGGGGGTGGGAGTATTGGACAGGATGTGGGTAGGAGTTGCAGTCCCTGAGGTTGTGTGAGGGAGTAGGGCTGGGGACCAGAGAAAGCCTGAGAAGGTGGAGTCAGGACATGGTGGGAGGGGCTGTGTTCTCAACTAAAGTCACTGCCCCACCTCCTACCCAGGAGATCCGAGTTCTCAGTCCCACATCTCAGACACACTCTGTGTGTGGTTGTCAGGATTGGACAACAGCCGGGACCTGAACATGCTGGACTGCATCGTCGCCGAGATCAAAGGCACAGTACGACGACATTCACCCGCAGCCGGGCGAGGCCGAGTCACCAGTACCGCAGCAAGGTGAGTGGCACAGGACACCTGCCTGCTAGACATGGCAGTGGGAGGGATGTGAGGTATCTACCTAAATAGGCTTCCTTTTCTGGGGATGCTGGTCCTGGGGGATGAAGAGATGGCTGCCACTCTGAGGTTAGGGTGGCAGGGCAGGACTGCCATGTGTGGTTGCACAGGCTGAGCACTGTACAACCTGCATAATCATCCGTGGTGCCCTGAATGGATGGGAAGCCCCACCCTGAGCCTCATGAGCATCTCTACTTCCCCCAGTGTGAGATGAAGGCCACGGTGATTAGGCATGGGGAGACCTAAGGCCGCACCAAGGAGAGATCAACGAGCTGAACCGCATGATCCAGGGCGGCGGCCGAGGTGGAACGCCAGGAGTGCCAGGTATGGGTCATCTGTGCCCAAGGTCCGAGAGACCGAGGGCCTAACCATTGTCACACAGCCTATGTGTGCCCCATCTGGATCTCAGCATTCATTCTCCAGCCCCTTTGTCCATGTAGAGTCCCTGGCTGTGGTCTCTCCAGTGGGTCCCAGGTGATGAAGGCGAGAGGCTCTGTTCTAGGGTGCTCCCAGGTTGGTGGGGAGCATGGTCTCATCCAGGTAAGCATCAGAGAGACCCAGAGATTCTGATCCACCTTGTTCTCTCTGTTGTCTTCAGAACTCAAGCTGGAGGCAGCGGTGGCCCAGTCTGAGCAGCAGGAGTGGCGGCCCTCAGCGATGCCGCTCGCTGGCCGAGCTGGGCCCTGCAGAAACCAAAGCAGGACATGGCCTGCCTGATCAGGGAGTACCAGGAGGTGATGAACTCCAAGCTGGGCCTGGACATTGAGATCGCCACCTACAGGCGCCTGCTGGAGGGCGAGGAGCAGAGGTGGGTCCCATAGACCTTTCCCTTTCCCAGCCGTGCCAGGGTTCTCAGCGTGCCCTGTCTTCACACTCCTGGCAGCACTCAAGTTTTGTTTCTTAACCTCTCCACCCTGCAACCAGATAGGTAATTTGTGTAAGTCCTTTAAGTATGATCTAGCGCTGCTTGAGTCTCTCATGTTCACCTAGGCACTGATCTGAAATTGCGGTCTTGTTAATCTCAGTTGAGATCCAATAATCTGGCAGCAGGTATTGCTGTTACTGAGAAGCCTAGTTAAGGCCTGGGGCCAGCTTGCCTGGGTAGTGCTCCTTCCCTTCCAGCTGTAGCTGCAAGTGCCTCTCAGGATTTCTTCTCTTTTTCCTAGTCTGGCCCTGGCCCCAGCTCCAGACCTGGGAGTTCAGATGCATCCCATAAGGACAGCTTCAGATAAATGACACCATCAACTCACATTTTTCTATTATAATGGCAATGAACATCCTAAAGGGGTCTTCTATTGCAGGAAGTGGGAATGAGTTAGACACAGAGTGAGGACTTACCCGTTGGGGCAGTTATGCCTTGCTCTCAGGATTTTTGCTTGCTTGCTTGCTTCAGAGGTGGGGGGAGCGGAGAAGACCTACTGGTCACTCAGCCTTCCTATGGCTGAAGGCCAACTATACAGCTGGAGGGCAGCTATACAGCTCCTGCTCCCAGGACAATGCTCCCAGAATGTGAGCGCATTCTTTGCCCTTGGTTTCTTTCCCCTAGTTAGTCAGTTGGTTTCACTCCAAGCTCTTTTTTTTTTTGTGGACAGTCAGGCCCTTGGCCCTGGGGAGAGGAAGGTGAAGATTGGGGATGCAGAGGGAGCATCTTGTGTATTTGGGAAATGGGGAACACAGGTTTGGGACCTAGAAATTAAAGTGACCACATGATGAGATTTCCAACAAACTCGAGTTGTTCCATTGGAAAGCTCAGAGGCAGGGGTCTGGCTGGGCCTGGGGAATTTCATAAGTGAAGAATTCTGGGAGGAGGAGTTTTCCAAGTCTGAATTTGGAAGTTGGAGAGACACATGGAGATGGCATTGGAATCTGAGCGGCCCACTCCTCCATCACACAGGGCTCTTGGAATGAACTCAGGAGTTTTGGTGTGTGTTGCCTAGGGAACCTGGGCATGGGATGATTTGATGGTGGCTGTGGCTTCTCTTATCTGAAGCTGATTTCACCAATCCTTGGCCAGTGTGCTTTCAGGGGAACTCCATTTTCTTCCCTTAGGGGAAGCTATGTGGGAGGGAAATGTGGGCTGGGTGGAATAGAGTGTTTGGGGTGACAGCCCTGCCTTGTCATTGGACATGTCCTCCCTCTGGGCCTCAGCCTTTCCATCTGCAGGGTGAGACGACGGTGGTGGGCAGTCTCTGAGCCTGTTCTAAAATCCCATTAGTTTATCCAACAGTTTTGTATTGAGCCAGGCATTGTTTTTAGGTGGTGGGGAACGGAATAGACAACAAAGTCTACCCCCCTGACGCCTATAATCTAATGACACCAATCAGACTGGATTTCAGAAGTTAAACCTGCTTCCCTCAAATGCACCTGCAATTCAGTCAGAGCCAACTTCCAGGCAGTGGCAGCTAATAGCTCTTAAGGGCTATGAGCCAGGCTCTAAGCACTGGACGCCTCTTATTTGATTCATTCCTCATAAGAGATCTACCAAGTAGATTTTCCTGATAAGGAAGCCCAGGCTGAGGCTGGCTGAAGCTGGGGTTGCACAGCTCAGGAGCGGTGGAGAGCGAGGCACTTACAGGCCTTCTGTCTCCAGACCCTCACAGTGACCCGGGGCTACGCTGGCTCCTGGTTGAGAGCATTTCTTGCCCCCTCCCTTTGGCAAGTGCCCAGATGGAGGGCCACAGATGTACCCCCTCCACCTCAGTCGCGGGGGCCCAGCGCCTTTTCTGAGGCACTGACCTCTGCCCTTCTCTCCCCGCAGGCTGTGTGAGGGCGTTGGCTCGGTGAATGTCTGTAAGTAGTGGGGTCCGTCCCCTCCTCCCGCAGGGCGGGTCTAGGAGCCTCTGGGGAAAGGGCGCGTGGGCTCACAGCAAGCCACCCACTCAGGCAGCGGCTGCGCCTGACGCAGGCCTCCGTCTCTTCTTCCTGCAGGCGTCAGCAGCTCCCGCGGTGGCGTCGTCTGTGGCGATCTCTGTGCCTCCACTACTGCCCCTGTTGTCTCCACCAGAGTCAGCAGCGTCCCAAGCAACAGCAACGTGGTGGTGGGCACCACTAACGCTTGCGCCCCCTCCATCGGGATTGGCGCCTGCGGCGGCAGCTGTAAGAGGTGCTAGGAGGCTGCGGCCTCTGCCAGCGCCTGTAGCCATCATTCTCCACCCAGCCAGTCCTCAGGCCGCCGGAACGCGCCGCCCTGGCCAGCTTCCCAAGAGCCGCCGCCAGCTGCGTGCACTCTAAGTGCCCTCCCCACCGCTCCGCTCTGGGAGCCATCCCTGGTCGCAGGAGTCCGGGGAGGCCCGGCCAGCGCCGTGGTCTCTCTCTCTCTAGCCTTTCCTGGTAGTCAATTTATTGTCCTGAGGATTCATCCTTTTCTTCCGCCTACCTTCTGTTTTTTTGCTGTATGCATTGGTCTTGCCTGACCTCTTCCCCAAAGCTTGGAGGAACGGGGGAGGCCCGGGAATGTCCCTGTCTGCACGACCTGGGACTCTGCCCATGCGCTTCTGCCTGTGGAATGGAGACGTGCACCCTGGATGGTGGTTCTGTGACTCTGCGAGGGACAGGCCCACGTGTGGCCCGCAAGAGCTTCTGAAAAACTAATGACTCTGCTGCCTTCTCCTTTGTCTTTGTTTCACTCTGTGTTTCCAATAAACTCATTGTAGCGAATCAAGCCTAGTGTCTCAGAGTCTTGAAAATGCCAGGGCCCTCCTGTGATAGGGGGTCCCTGCCAGAGCGCCTCAGGACCCCTTTATCCACTATTTTTCAGTAGCTGAAAATGACCACAGTAGGTGCCGCCCATCGGTCCCTGAGCAGCCCAGGCCTTGGGGAAAATGAGAGAAGACTCAGGGAGCCAGGGAGTCTTACGGGATCATGGGTTTCTCTAGACCAGGATTTCTCAACTTCAGCACTATTGACAGTGTGTGGGCTGGGTCATTCTTTGTTTTAGGGCTGTTGCGTGCATTTGGTAGGATGTTTAGTAGCATCTCTGGCCTCAATCAGCTAGATGCCAAGGGTCCTCCACCACCCTCTTGTGACAACTAAAAGTGTCTCTAGATGTGGCCATATGTTTTCTAGGGTTTCTCAACCAGGGTGATCATCCACTGCCCCCACCCCAAGGCCTTCCTGGAGGGGAAAGTTCATGGGCAAAAAGACAGGTGAGAATGGAAGGAAGGTATGTGAGAGAAGGGAAGTATGTGAGAGAAGCACTGTGCGGGGAGAAAGAGCCTTGGGTTGAGAGTCAGGAGAACTGGGCTTCTCATTCCAAGCCTCAGTGGCCATTTGCCACATGTGTGACTTTGGGCAAATTGCTTCCAGCCCCTAATCTTCAGCTGCCTTGGCTGTGGAATGGAGAGATTGGACAGTATTCCTAAGATCCTTCTAGCTCCCTATGTGGGATTGTGTTTGAGAGGGCTATGTTAATGTCCTTTGAGTGCCAGTTCAGTCATTTACTAGTCTGTAACTGTGGGCAAATCACTAAGCCTCACTTAGCTTTAAGTTTCTTCAAATTTAGAGTGGGATGATGATATCTACTGGGCCGTAGGGAGGTGTTTCAGATATCTATTACACATAACAAGTCACCCAAATGGAGAGGCTTAAAACAGCAATACTTTATCATGCCTCAGGCTTCTGTGGGCTTACTGAGCAGTTCTACTTTACATGATGCTGTTTGGAGGGCTAGAATGTCTGAAAGGCCAAAATCTCACATGGCTGGACTTGGTGCTGGCCACCAGCTGGGAGTTCAGCTGATGTGGTTGGCCACGGTGTATCAGTCAGGGTCCAATCAGAAAATAATAATTTGAACAGAGAAAGTTTAACATAAAGCAGTATTAACCATAACAGAGATTGGCCAGTAAAAAGCAAGAACTCTAAAGACCACAGGAGCTGCAGCCATAAGGAGCAGCCCCTACCCCCAGGGCTTTTCTTCGGCATCCAGAGATGGCTATCCTGCTTTCACTAATTGTCTCCTTGAGCACATTTAGGCTCTGCCTGATGCCTGGGCCCAAAGTCAATGTCACAGGTTTTGAGTTTTGTTTCAGCAGCATCTCTCTGCCAGGTACCAACTTGCTCTCCACTTATCTATTGCTATGTAACAACACATCCCCAAATTTAGTGGCTTAAAACAACAATATTTTTCATAGTTGTGGGAATTGCCTGGGTAAGTCTTCTGCTTCATATTATTGACTGGGGCTCTGGCCCTGCTGAAAGGTCCAGGATGGCTTCACTTGTAAGGTTGGCATTTGGAGCTAGCTCTGGTCAAGAGTTCAGGAGCTGATGGCCAGGGCTTCTGTTCTTCCCTATGTGCTCCAATCCCTTTAAAGCCTCCTGGGCACGGAAGCTGCAGAAGGTGCTTTCCATCAGATTCTATTGGTCAAAGCAGTCATGCAGCCAGCCCAGGATCAAGGGGAGGAAAAACAGACTCCGCCTTTGATATGAGCAGTGCCATGCACAGAGAGGGAGGAGCTGTTGGGAGCTCATCTCTGAAGATAGCTACCACAGGAAGATTAAATAACACAACACAAATAAGTTTGGGGTATAGTGTGGCATATAACAGATACTAAATAATTAGTGTTTATGACCGCTCTTGTTGTTATTACTATCATCATGACATCATAACAGTGCATTATTCCCAGCCTCTGAATAGCAGGGGAAGAGTGGGCTGGTAGGAAATACTGGGAGCTGGAGGTTTGGCATCCTAGCTTTTGTCAGCAGGAGTGTGTGGCCAAGCTCCTTCAGCTTTTGGAGCCTCTGGTAGTTTACCCACTTGATAAAGGCAGGTGATAGCAGCAGCCCAATGAGTGAATGAGAGCTTCAGCTGGTGTACAGAGAAGGGTGGATGTCACAGCACTGTTACTCTGGGTACTGGCACTGCCACACTGGCCCTATCTCAGGCTTGTCAGCACAGAGGGATCCACCATCCAGTTAGCTCACATTCCTCAGCAGCCAGCAGGAAGTTTCCGGAGAAGAGGCAGCTGGCTCTCTGTGAAGCATGGAAGGCCTCATGAATTGGCCCATAGCATCTACCTCTGCAAGAGGATGGGAAAAGTGCCTGGAAGGAAGGAGGAATGAGAAACACCCTTGGGTGAAGAAAGTTTTCATGGAGTAGAGTTGGAGCTGGGGTAGGAAGGGCCGTGGAGGAGGATGTAGAAACGATGTGCTCATTTTCAGCTTTTAGAGGCATTGGGGAGCAGCCCCCACTCTCCTTAGCGGCCTTCCTGACGCATCAGAGCTCCTGGATGGCCCCATGCTCCATTTCCAGCTCCATCTCTATCTCTCACATACTGTTCTCCATGTCTGGAGCACATCTATCCTCCTGGTTAACTCCTTACTTCAGTTCACTTTTTGCTTTCAAATGTAAGCTTTGCAGGGACAAGCATCTTTAACTATTTTCTTTTCTTATAGGAACTCAAGCTTGTGTAACAATACCTGCTACACAGCAGGAGCTCAATAATGATTTGTTGTTGAAATAATGAGCTCTTGGTTTTCCTTTAGGTCTCAGCTTCAATATTATCTCCTTTAGGAAATAATCAGCTTTGCCTGCTTAACAATCCTCTGGCTGTGATTCTCTTTTTCTCCCAGCACCAAGGCTCAGGGTTTTTCATAGCCACCCCCTCCTTGGTGGAGAGGTGGCAGTGGTGGTGGAGAAGATGGGGCTCAGGGACTCAGGACCAGACTCTCCAACAATCTTTTCTAGCCCCTTGAGCTGGTTGGGTGGAAGGGAGATGAGTCACCACCAGAGGCATGGAGCCTCTGGGTTCCCCCAGGTGGCACCTCCACGACTTCCCAAGGCTGGCAGTCCTTACAGTATCCTCCTTAACCCCCGAGAAGGGAGTGTTAAACCCCAGAGCAGAAATCAGAGCCCCTTCCCAAGAAAGGCAGAACTGAAAAGGCTCCTGGAAAGCCTCTGGTCCAACCCCTTACTCGACAGGTGTTCAGGGCATCTTGAGTCAGTGTAGGGGAGAAAGGTCGGGGGCAATGAGGAGCAGGAAGCTGTGACAGGCACTGAGCGATCAGTCAGAGCTAGACATACAGGGGATGGTACATTGTGTTTAAGTCTGGACTTTGTTCCGGGGACAGTGGTGACCCACTGAAAGCGCAGCCTTGTGTTTGATGAAGGTCTCTTTGACTGCTGTGAGGTGGGGCATGGAAGGGAGAAGAACAGGACTCTAGGCAAAATGGTGGTGGCTGGGTGTGCTGGCAGCAATAGGGAGAGAGGAAAGAGGGGCATGGAGAGGTATTTAGGAGTCAGAAAAAGAAGTCCTTGGGGCTTAATGAATATTGAGGGTACAGGCATGGATAAATCATAGGTTCTGGTTTGGGCAACTGTGTTGATGATCTTGGTAAGAGAGACTGGAGGAGACTCTGGTTGAGAGGGTGGGAAGCAATGAGTTAAGCTGGAAGGTGTGCTGAGTTCGAAGCATCTCTAAAACTGACAAGTGGAGTTGTCTTGTAGGAACTGGAGCTGGTGGGTCTAAGCCGAGGAGGGAGGGTAGAAGGAGAATCATCAGGGCTCTGAAGCCCAGGTGGGGGATTTTAACCAGGGAGGACATTAACTGTGGGTGGTAGCTGAAGGTGAGAGACTGATGCGACTGCCTAGGGAGAGTGCAGAGAGGTGGGAAAAGGCCTTGGGGTAGTTGGATGTTTGAGGCAGGGTGCAGGGTGAGGTGTAAGTCAGTGAGCAGAACTGCCTGGGAGGAGCTGAGAGCCTGGCCTGGGAGACAAGGAGGTGAAAGGCCCGAGGCTCAGGAATTGGGAAGTGGGAAGGAGAGAAGGCACTGGGCAGCCCCTGGAGCTTGGGTGAAGGCTAAAGGGCGCTGGGGGTGCTGGAGATTCCAGGGGGATCAATGGAAGGGGGTGGGTCCTCCAAGGACATCTTGGTGAGACCGGTGGGAAAGGCCAGGGGCTGGGTGAAGGGGAGGAATGAAGAGGGCCAGCAAGGAAGGCAATGCACAACACTGGAGGTGGGCTGCAGCCTTGCGAGGACTGTTCCAGGCCTGATTCCTTGAGGGTGGGGTGAGGGGCTTCTCAAAGTCTTCCAGAGCTCTCCAGAGCTTTCCAAGTGGAGGACAGGAGAGATTGGGCCAAGCAGCGGGCAGAGGAGCCTCTTAGCCTTGGGGTTGAAGCTGTGAGGTATCTCAGATGAGGGCAGTGAGTGGGGGAGTTGAGGGAGTGAGTAGATGGTGTCCTCATGTCAGCTGTGGAGAAGGCTACCAGGTTCTGAGGAGGTGTGTGCATGGGGGAAGGGTGGGCCAGGGGCAGGTGCCAAGGCTCTCATCTTTCCCTGTTTGGTGGGCAGCGTGAGGAGCACGTGGCAATGGGGTGGTGTCCAGACTGACAAAGGGTGGCCCCTGAGGGTGGCTCCTGGCCCTTTTGGCAGTTACTGCTATGGTACCTATGTGGTAGGATGGCTGGGTGGCAGAGTGAAGATATGCTAGGAAAAGAAAGTGGGGACTGCGTATGCAAGAAGGGGGCAAAACTCAAACACGCACACAAGCATGCATACACATGCATACATATAAACACGCGCATGCACGTGCACTGCCTTCCAGCTGATCCTCTGGCCTCCTCGGTCACCTGCAGAGCCAATTGGAAGAGCAAAACCCTGCGCCATCCAGACTGATAGGTGTGACAGGTAGAAGGTGCTGTGAGCACAGTCGGCACTGCCTGGTAGGG